AACAAATCGCGATAGGGCAAACGCTCAGCTGACATACGCAGGACGTGGCCGAGTCAACTTAACTGGCGCATCAAAGCCAGCTTGTTGATGGGAATACTCGCGTCCCCTAAGCCACGACGTCTAACTCCACTGTTGCAGATGTTGACACCACACATGAGCCATCCTGCTCAAACACCCGTTGTCCAAAGCCGAGAGCCGGCGCATGTTGTCTGCGCGAACTAGCAATGACTCGCTTCCATATAGCAACACCGCCCGATCAGTGGCATTGTAAATGCAACTCTTTACCAAGATGGGGATTTTCCGACGACGCCACTAGTGCTGCAGGTTGATAAATGCCGACCGAGCTTTGGCTATGCGAAGAACAACTTCCTTTCCAATAGTACCACCAGCAGTCAGCTGCCCAGGTAAACAAAGCCATCCCATTGTTCAAGCTGTGTACCTGCAATAGGGAGCACTGGAACGGGTGAGTGCCAGTCCTGAACCAGCCCGTATCCTAAAGGTAGCAAGCTTGTCTTGGAATCTGACGGCGCAGGTTCGAGCCTGCGTAGGGGCAAAGCCACCCTCGCACTACCTCTAGCCCACGTGCGACCGGTGGTGGTTGCGCGGCATCCAAGCGTCGGCGCTACATGCCGGCGCTCTACTGCCTATATTGCCAATCCTGAAGCAGCACTTTACACTTTGACGGGGCAAAGCACATTCCGCCAGACGGTCTTAGAATGGTTTGCATGCTCTGTGAGTCGTCACCAAGTAAGGCGATATCATCTTCGTAATCTAAGTCGGTCGCTTGCTTACCCTTTAGTAGCTGTAGACCAACATTTTGGCAACCGTCTAGAGCTCTTGACAGGACGGCTTCAATTTCAAAGTTGAAGAGGAACGGGACATAGGACATCCCTGTCGTACACCGCTATTGACAGCGAAGGACGACAAAAGCTTGCCGTACACCCTCACTCTTCCGGAGATGTGGAAATACACTGCGTGTTGGATGACCGAGTGGTCTGCACGTTTGCTTTGCAACCATAAGGTCACCGGTTCGAATCCGCGTAGGGGTGGGCGTCCTCGCGGTATGCTCAGCCCGCGCGCGACTGGTGGTGGTCGCGCGGCAGCGAAGCGCCGTTACGGCGTATAGCTGGCACATTATTATATTATTATTATTATTTATTTCTGTGACACCGTTCCTTAACAAACAACGCCATAGTTCAGGTTGTACAACCGAGTCTAATGCGGCACCGATGTCCAGGAATGCAACGACAGTAGGCTTCTGGTAAAGGTGGTGGTATTCCAGGTTTTGTTGGAGTGTGAATATCTGATCCACATGCGCACAGCCAGGTTAGAAGCCAGCTTGTTCTTCCTGGTATTGCGATTCGCGAATGAGAGATAGTCTGCGGGGTAGACTGGTTGCCAATAGTTTGGAGGCGACTGAAATGAGACCGATCCCCCGAATATCGGTAGATGAAGTGCGAGCACCCTACTTAAAAATCGGGACAATAATTGATTCGCCCCAGGAAGAAGGTACCCAGGTTTTGGATAACAATGAGGTTAGCTAGCTACTGATAACCGAGCCTCCATACTTAAATAGCTCTTGAGGAAGTCCGTCTGAGCCAACAGCTTTGAATCGTTTCAAGTGTCGAATCGCAAGACAAACTTCCGCTTCGCTGCTTAGACTGACCCAGGTTTGGCAGCTGGGTTCGTAGAACATAAGTGGACAGGGAGGACCAATAGAAAGGAATGAAAATGTTTGGCCCATCGATCCGAGCGTCTTAGTAACCTGGCAATTAGAGAACCATCCGCTTTGCAAATTATCTGACTGACACCAGGATTTTTGTTGCAAGTGGATCTAACGAGCTGGAAGAGTTTGCAAGTACTACCGGAGAAGGCGACGGCCTCCATTTCCGAAGCACGCTAGGATCACCAGGCTTAACGGTCACTGCGTAGGCTTTGTTTGAGCTGCCGACTGACAGAGCGGTGCCCTTCATTATGATTAGACGGCGCGTCGGGATTTGTCTTATTCCGTTCGACTTCAACGTATGAATTTGTCTCCTTCGGCTACTGTCGTCGTGGAGATCTGATTTCCATATTGCGCATTCTCAGAGGGGAGTTGGGTAGTGAGCGCCGACAATTCTACGAGTTCAACAGAAATAGCTCACCACGCGGGCACAGTTAGAAATTCTTTAAGTCAAAGTAGCACCACATTCGTTCAACTTTCATTCTGTCCACCAGAGTAGTGAACGATTCGAATAACTTACTGGAGGCTGTGATCCTTGCTTTTACTGAGGAGTGTTTCAAGAAGCTGTTGGATCTACACTTGCTTAATGTGTCTGAGTCTTGCTGTTATTCCCGCAACTTTACTCACCCAGTTTGAACTACCCTTTCGCTATGGCACGCATCATTCTCACACTGATCGGGAACTGATGAGGCTGACTAGGCTTATCCCATCTGCTTTCTACTATTCAACGTATTCATTCGTGGCAGACTGCCGATTAGTACTGGTACGCTGAATCGTGTCTGCACGCAGCCGCAGGTCTTCCAGTTTTCACCCTTTATTATTTCTTTTGCAAACCTATTCGTAAGTTGGTTACTGTTTATACTTTTAATTATAGAATCACAATAACAGCAATTTACGTTTTAACTAGAAATATCAGAAGACGTAAGCTGTGAGATGACCCGGTCATTTTGTGCCTATCTCCTCAGTCACTGAGGAGATGACCGGGTCATCTCACAGCTTACCTCTTCTGATATTTCTGTTTAGATTTATAAAGGGAACTTCTTGTTTCAAATTTGCGTTTTATTTTTTCTGCCTAGACCACACGTATAATTCACTAGTCTGCAGTTTTCCTGTCCTGTCTCGTGCGATTGCATAGTTTAGGCTTCGTACGGTCACCACAGTCCGTAAGGAAAAAGCGATTCCACATAGAAGAGCGACGTCAATTTTTCTTCCACGTTTGCGTTTTTCTTTGACGAATTCATACCCATCTTTGCCTACATGGACATGAGCAATTCCGTTATCCATGTTACGATTAAGTGATAGGCCGAGGAAGGCATGTCAACTATTAATCGCACGGGGACATTGGCTTTGTGCACTGTTGACTGACTATCCGGGAAGGCTGTGAGCCACATGCAATTGGTCCATATGTATGTGACATGGTGGTGGGTTTTCAGCTTTGTCCTGATGCTTTTCCTTCTCATATAAATGTCTCTTCTATAAACTTGCACACGTCGCTTAAGCCAATTGTAGTCAATTCCCATAGCATGTTCGTGTTTGTGGCATTTCCGTAAACTATACTTTCTGAGCTCGTGAACTTACCTCGAATTCGTTGGTAAACAACTTATGTCTTATGCTCAATTTAAGATTTATGTCACCGTTTCCTTATGCATTATTCTATTTTATTTGTTACCTTTATCTCAAGTGATTGGCTGTTGCTTGATATCCCCGGTGTGACTGCGCTTGATGTGTATGTTGACAAGGTGCCTACCTGGCCGCTTAAAGCAGCGGACCTGAAGAGGCTAGTTACGTTCGACCGTCGGTGCCTTCGTAATTTAGCTCACATCTGGTGAGAACACCGCGTGAGCAACGAGCGTGTTCGGCGCCTTGTTTTCGGCACAGGAAAAATAAATGAACCGCTCAGCACCGTCATTTCACGCACCAGGCTTCTATGGCTCGGCCACGTGTTACGCATGCCAGTCCACCGACTCCCGCGACGTGCGTTGTTTGCGCGCCGGGGGTGTGGATGGAAGAATAGGAGGGGTGGCCAAGCGATGACTTGGTCCAGAGGATTGAAGGCCCTCACTTCTGAGCTGGCCTCGGTTGGAGCGTCTCGGCTCCCTGGTTAAGGTCCGAAAGACGATGAACATGTCTGGTTGGACACACTTGCTGATATGGCTAGGAGCCGACCTCAGTGGTGTTCGTGCTGTTTCTTTGTCCCACCCCATCCCTCTTAGCCTTCCCCCCCAACCACGATCTCATTATTTAGCTTTATATAATTTCGCGTAGTATTTTTTTGATGCACAGTAGCCGACTGGTGGCTTAACGGAACGATGCCCATCCGTTACCGGTAGCTCAGCCGGCTTACACTAGTTGCGTATTTTCTCCCTTTTTCTGTGTATTTTGGCACAGTAGCTGAGGTGTTCCCCGGCTCTGGCTAACGTGTATGATGATGATGATGACCTGTCTATTACCCACAACCTCGTCCATACTGGCTCCAGGAGACAGTTGGTCGTTGCTGGAGGGGACAGGGTGCACGGTCCTTGTGGCCTTGTTAGGATCAAAGAGTGGTTCTGTGCACTCAGTGTGGAGCGGACTACGGTCCAGTCACCGCCTTGTGTGCGTTTGATTCCCAAATGCAGCGTGCTTGTGTTTGCCTGTGAAGGAGTGTGGGCCGGCTCCGTTGATGTAACGTGATTCCCATCCACATGCCTCCCGGTCTTATTCTTGCGGGTTTACACTGGATATGAGGTGTGTGGATGGAGCTGTGGGTGGTGCAGCGCAAGCCACCCATGGTTTCTCTGTAGGCGCAGGCGTCCTGTGGCTTGCCACATTGACAGGCAAATCCGAAACCGGATGCCGCCAATCATGTGACATGGTGCTTCCCATTTTCCTAGTCTGGAGCACTAGATCATAATACCGAACCCTCAAGGTAGAAGGGCGGTTGATATATCTCTCGCAAACCGTGAGGTTAACACAGCTTTCGAGCAGGACGTCCAAGAAGCCGGAGTAAAGCAACACCGAGGCCAGGTAAAGTTTCCTCGACCAACGAACTCACGGACGGGCACGGAGGTCATTGCCTGCCACGTGGCTAATACGCTTTCAGAGAATCTAATGACCACCGAGGTTGTTTATCCACACTGCATTTGGTACACACTTCTGATCTCAAAGTGAATAGTCTGAGTGGTCACACTCAGAGACCATACATGTTCCACCCATACTATAGATATCACTGTTTTGCAAAGTTTTTCATTTTTTTACAAATGCCTTACGCCGATTCTCCACTTTTGATTATTTTTTAGCCTATTCCTACAAATGGGTTGCATCTATTCTTGTTTCGTGAGAATCGCTTGATTTCCATTGACCTGGATATCGGTTCGCAATGTTCTGCTTCCATGAACTATCATGCATGGCCATTTGTGGAACCCATTTAGCATATCCAACCCCGTATTATCGAGTACATCATGGCAAAAACCGGTTTTGCTGCTGGGGCCATGGTGTCCACGCTCGTGACATGTGTATATTTCACCTCAGTCTGCTTCTGCTAGTTGGAGTGACAATCCTTTTTTTCGTTTATGAGGCACGTTTCTTGACGCCAATACTTTCTCCTGCTATCCCCACATTCGCTGCGATATTGTTTCTGTATGTTCTTCTAACGTTTCTCCGCACTGCCTTTACGGACCCCGGCATTCTTCCTCGCGCTACTGCAGCTGAGACAGAGTGGACGAAACTTTATCTTGGTGAGTATATTTCTTTGTATTTCGCTAGAAAGCATTTTCCTTAAGGGAATGTCTTTTAGAGTCCATACCGTTTTTTGTCACGGATGTTAGCAACCAACTTGTATCACAACCTATCATCCTGTCGTTATCCTACGCATTAGCTAAGAGTGAGAATCAGCCAAGCTGTTGTGCCGAAATACAGTTCAATAGGATGGCACTAAAAATTAAGGAACCAGTAATGAAGACATAACAACCAAAAGTATCGATGTGCTTTGTTTTACACTATGCAATAAGCGGGATGTAATGGGATACGTGAACTCACCATACAAATGCCATCGTGATCGATTCTTCATCGTGCCGACAAGTATATCCAACCAAAATTCTTCGTCGTGTTTCGGACCCCAGTCCGGGAGTCAAGAGGGGTTTAAACATAGACAAACTTAGAAATGAAAGGCTACATTCCTCTAGACCAATTTGGTCTTTATTGCTGTCCTACGATTCAGACTTCGGTCGCACAAGCAACGAGTTTCGCGAGTCGGTATTGACACACGAACTACATTGCTCAGGCATTGTAACCTGGTGCGTGAAATACTGGCGTTGAGTGATTCACTCTCTTCCTGCACCATATACAAGACGCTGAACACCGACATTGTTCACGCGATGTACCCACCAGATGTGGGCCAAGCTGCGGAGGCACGGGTGATCGTAAAGTAACTAGGCTTGTTATGTCCGTCGCTCTGCTAAGCCAGGTTTGACAATCCTACATTAGGGTTGCATGGGCAGTTGCTTGGTAGACTCTACTCTTCAGGCTAGGAGTAATGTCACACGGGTGCCATAAGTGGCGATGATCGGCGAAAGCACCTCGAGCTTTTACTCTACAGTTTACACTCACACCGTTGATCCCATTGGCTGATATAACTGTCCAGGTGGTTGGATTTCTCATTGACTTCTAGCTAACCCCACAAAGGGTCAGCGTAGGAGGCGGTTCCCGCCAATCTTGGAGGAAGGCTTTAAATTTTGAGGGTGGTAAGCAGAGGCCGAAACATATAACAGCCACTGCTGCTGGATATGTTTTTGCGCTGTCACAGATGAGGGTAATGCCGTCGGCATAATCCAGGCAAGTAGTTGATCACCTGATTGCAGCCCCACACCTACTTTTTGATGTCCGGTGATAACAGTTTCCATGCAATTAAAAAGAGAAGGTGACGGCCGGCAACCATATCTTACACCATTCGAGATTTAGGAAGACGGCTACCGCTTGCCATGACCCATCATTCTATCAGAGCTACGTGCGCACAGCGCTCTGATTAAGTTTACTTATATATCGGACACAACTTTCCTTAGTCAACAGTCCGAAAGTGAACATCGATCCACCAAATCGAGGACACCTTTGGTGCAAAGGAACACGACTACGATGGGCCGCGTATATAAACGTTGGTACCCCAACGATTGACGCAATGTGAAGATGGGGTCAATGCAGCCTGGATTTCGACGCAACTCGGCCTTTTCTTCCTGAATCTAACTTTCACGAGTGCCAATCAGTCCGCGCAAGACGACAGAATTAATTGATCTAGGGGCGCTGGAGATCAGATTTATTGCTTCTTGCTTGCCGCATCCCGAACGTGGGCACCCCTTGAAGATGGGACAATAGTGGAATAGCTGCAGTTGGTCGGGACAATTTCCTCCTCACACAGTTTCATTTATTGATCACGTTAACCACCCACAAAACTGAGTTTGAAGAGAACTGGAGGAAGTTCATTTGATCCCGCAACGGTATGCAACTTCAGTAGTCTGGTTTTATTTTCGATCTCTGCGCTAGAGATTGAATCTAAAACGATGACTCGGTGAGAAGTGTGATCACTGGCCTGTAACGAATTCACTACTTCTAGGGCATCCAATTACTATTCTAACTACTCAGCCTATCGCTGCAATTGCGTGGATAGGCTGTTGATAGGTTTCCCCATGTTGCATATGGCCTCACGAACACCAGGTCTACTACTACCCGTTTTCCTTATAAGACGGAATAAATTCGATGGTTACGAGGACAGAGGCTGCTACTATCTCTAACGCACGATGCGATCACCAGGTTTTGCGATATCTCTTCAGGCAAACACACAAATTTGCCCTAAAGTCTTTACGACTGACGTTGTGTTCGCTTCCTGATGTAATTTGTCGGGGAGCATCTATTGGTTCTAAAGACTGCGTGACGATCCAATATCCAGATTGTCAATCAGATTTATCACATGAAGCCATACCTGCTTCTGATTTTAAACTGTCTCCTTGTGCACGTACGCAGCCCGAATAGGCAGTGTACTTTTATACCCACTCAGGCATCTGAATTCGCCATTTGGCGATTGTCTGTGCGTTCCGATCGACGTCGCGGGTGCCGTCTCAAACGCAAGTGGAGATCAGCATACACGTGCATGTTTGGAGCCCAGGCTTGTGCTTCAAATCGTTAGGGTGTTTTGAACGCAGCCTTCAACGGTAACTGATCACAATGTGGTCGATTTGTGTCCATTTCTGGTTCAGGCTAGTGGGCGCAATGACACCCCCTTGCGGTTGCTTTGTCGGAAGTGCTGGCGAGATATAGACGAGTGTAATGACACAATGAAATCTCCGAAGCGGACTACTTCTATATCCGGACCACCACTTTAAGTCAACCGTCTCTTCTTAAGCTTTCACCATGTAAAATCTACGGCACCAAACCTCTGTATATTGGCCACCTCTGTATGTTGTATGTTGATTATTTGCGATGTGACAGTCATTATCAAGTTAACTCTAGCTTGACCATGTGGAGGTTTACTGTGCATTGGTCGCCGAAGAACTCGTTTGTCATCATCATCATCATCAACAGCAGTACATCAGTCATTTGTATTGATGCCTCACTGCCACACAACCATGAGGACCTATGAAATAAAGAGTAAGAAGAGGGAGAGAAGTGGGACTTACCTGAAAACCTTAATGCCCTAAGCAAACATTCAGGGTCAAGGCACCTACACCTTGTGTAGACAACATACAGTCACAAACAGCTGGCTATCGTGCAAAGATAAGGCGGCATCGGCGAGACAGCTTCCTTGAGGCTTTCACTGCCCGCGTCATAATCAGCCAGTACCCCGCAGATAACTCAGCATCGAACACACTTTAAACAAGCAATCCGACTAGGATATGGCGGCAGACGCGCCACTGGTGTCGGTTGCGAGCCATGTCCTGTAAAGTCTCGAGCCAGGCACAAGGCGAGTCACGTGGACTCCAACCCGGAAGGCGAGACGGACCAAGGGCACCCAGTTTGGTCGTCAGTGACTTCATTTCCCGCTGCCAAGCCAACTTCTGTCCACCTCGAGCCTTGCGCCATCCTACACCTGGCAGACTAAACAAGGCCCTCCTAGGTAAGCGGTGACCAGGCATGCGTAGCACGTGCTCGAGCCAATGCAACTTATTCAGTACTATCTGTTGTTCTAGGGAGCTAGCAGGATTAACACTACCTATTACTCGCCTGCGCACATCATCGTTGCGGACAGGCTGATGCCATCCGACACCAGCAATGCTTCGCAGACGATGATGATCAAAGACTTGAAGGCGCCTCAGATCTTCAGACCGAAGGGGCCAAGTTTCACTACCATAGAGCAGAACGGCCCTCACTGTGGCCTTTTATACACGGCCTTTCAGACGGACGGGAAACTCTCTTCTGTCGCCAAAGATGACGCAGGTTCAAGAACGCAGCTCTGGCCTTTGCAGTGCGTGAGAGGACGTCACTTTCTTTTGTGTCCTCAGGGGTTCGACTTAGCAGCTTCTTAGATTACGCCACGCGAGCCAAAAGACAACCTACCGGACTAGAAGTATATTTGCGAAACACAGAACGGGCCGACGTGGGTATGAAAACACATCGATACAGTCCACATCACGGCTTTATGCTAGTTTGAATTTATCGATCTCAAAGAATCACGGGACGTGTGAGTGGTATGAAACAAGCGATAGTAACAAATGTTCTGCAACACAGAAAAACACTAATCTGTTTGTAACTGAGACTGTTTTGATACAAGGCACACGGTTACTTGGGGAAATTGCGCACTTACCTTCCCGAACAAGTCAATTTGTTACGTTGCTGTGCGCATTTGACTTTGGTCCGTGTGAAATTCTGTTTTTGCCTGCAAGTTACAAGATTTGGTTAGTGGCCGTTCGAGACTTAACACCTTTGTACTCAGATGAATCAAGACCAGAAAACAGTTCAGGGTTAAGATATCTTTTCGGTAAAATCTCGTCAGACCCAAACTTTTACATGACACGGATTATGTGGGGTAAGCGTCAAATCGGGCTTGGATTGATTTCTAAGGTGTTTGAAAGGTCAAGATCGATGACTAAAGGTGGCTGCAGATGGTAGGAAAAGTGCATCAAAGGAAATTAATACAAGCTTCAGGGCCTAAAGTAAATAGCTAAGGTCACAAAGGGTAGTTAAGTAACCATGTCAGTCGGCCAAGGTAGTAGTATCGGCCGTATGAATCGTTTGTGTACGCATAATTCCGGCTTCAGATGATGGATGTAAATAGCCTCGGCGATAGACAAGATTTGCTTTCGGAAGCCTTGCGATAAGCGTTCAGGTAGTGAGTAGATGACTTTAAAGTCATTCTCAGATGCAGTATGGCCACTTTCGAGGAGGTGCGACATGATTGAGCTGTCTGAGGCCCTCATTTCGCCTTTGTAAAACCACGCTGGGATGTGCTCGCGAATCCTCTGGGATAGACGTCTCGTTGTGCGACCCACGTATCGTGCACCACAAGAGCACGAGTACTGATAAACGAGCATTGAACGGGTCAACGATGGCAGACTATCTTTCAAGGGTTTTGCAAGCAATGGCTTGTTGTGGTAAACAATTCTTAAGCGGGCTGCGAAATAAGTTTTCTCAACAGCATCTTTCAAACGTCGAGATAGGATATCAGCTGCAGTGTCGCCCTTAAATGGTAAATGTATGAACAGCTCTTTCTTGGGAGCAATGCTTCTAGGTGGCTTTCGCTTGCGTTCTTTCA